ATATAGGGGGGGTGTGTATGGGGGGTCTATGATGGTATACAGGGGTTCTCCATGGAGGGGGGGTCTATGTCGGTATATAGGGGGTCTCCATGGAGGGGGGTATACATATGTAGACATGGGATTGGTTTATGTGATGTCCGGTGATGATGGGTCTCCTCCGCACAGGACACGGAGGTTTATAAAGCCTCCACGAAGGATGACATCACCAAGTGGCAGAACGCTCTGCGGGCTCACAGTACCACCGACTGGCTGATTGTGGTTGTTGAGAGCGAAGCCAAGAAGAAGAACAAAACCAACATCCTCCCGCGGACCTCCATCGCCGACAAGATCCGAAGTGACTTCTGTAACAAGCAGAGTGACAGGTGAGCGTGATATGACGTGACAGGTCCACTTGCAGAGAGAGCTGTGATCCCGGCGTGGATGAGAAGATTCGGGTTTGTGTTTCCTCAGGTGTATGGTGCTGGTGGACCCCCTGAAGGAAACCTCGCGCTCCCAGGAGTCCTGGTCTCTCTTCCTGTCCAAACTGCGCACGTTGCTGCTCACCTCCTTCACCCGGAACCTGGGACACTTCGAGGATGAGATGAGGACTCTGCGAGAGAAGAGGACGGAGCCGGGGTGGAGCTTCTGTGACTACTTCATGGTGCAGGTACAATTATTGCCCCTTCTAGATCACATGGCTCCTCCTAGAGGGGGACATGAGACATTGGCCTCCACCTATACCCGATACGGGGTCTCCTCCGTCTCTAGAGGACAATTAATTCCTTGTATACACCATGCATGGAACCCAACTCCTCCTAGAGGGGGACATGAGACATTGGCCTCCACCTATACCCGATACGAGTCATCCTCCTTCTCTAGAGGACAATTAATTCCTTGTATACACCATGCATGGAACCCAACTCCTCCTAGAGGGGGACATGAGACATTGGCCTCCACCTATACCCGATACGAGTCATCCTCCTTCTCTAGAGGACAATTAATTCCTTGTATACACCATGCATGGAACCCAACTCCTCCTAGAGGGGGACATGAGACATTGGCCTCCACCTATACCCGATACGAGTCATCCTCCTTCTGTAGAGGACAATGAGTTCCCTGTATACACCATGCATGGAACCCAACTCCTCCTAGAGGGGGATATGAGACATTGGCCTCCACCTATAGAGGAACATGGAATCCTTCTATACATGTTACATGGCACCGGACTCCTCCTGTAGGGAGATGAGAGACTTGGACCACCACCTCCATCCTCTCTAGGCTGTATGACCCCCCCC